CACACACACACACACACACACACACACACACACACACACACACACACTCACTCAGAGTGGCTCTCTCCCTATGAAATGTATAGCTGGGTGGCCTTGTTGCTGCACACTTCCTGTGGTACCATGCTGTCCCAGACACTGCGGTGTTCTGAAGCCTAACCATGGTCACCGTGCCGATCTGCTGTACTGAGAGATCACAGAGACCACTCAGCGCAGTACACTGAGCCTGTGCTTGTTCGCTTCAGAACGGCCACCCAAACTCAAACAGGGCACTCCAGATTGTTCCTTCCTGGCTTTGAGTTTTGAACAGGGTGAGTTGTGATGATTTGGAAAGCACAGCCTGATGGGGCAGTGGTAGCAGATTCAATCAGATCAAGGCAAAAGGGAAATTGAGTAAATAATGGAAGGCCAGGGAAGTTGGAGTGGGATAGTGGCGCAATTTCCCGCCCCCATTCACTCCCCGTCTGGCCCCCACCTACCCTCACCCGTCATTGCCCCATCCCCAGTCAGCTCTCAACTCGCCCCGACAAGTCAGCCCTCACCACCCCATCAACAGCACGCCCAGTCACAGATCATCACCAACCCTAATTACCCCACATCTCCGATAGGCTCAATGGCCTCCCCTCCTGGGCTGAAAAGTGACCACGATGATGGTCTCATCCCAACGTGGCCCCCATCCCTGCACCACCCAGGGGCCCCCCGCCATCACTGCACCACCCAGGGGCCCCCCGCCATCACCGTGCCACCCAGGGGCCCCTCCTATCACCTCGCCACCCAGGACCCTCCCCCATCACCATACCAACAACACCTCGCATCTCTCCTCCTCCGTCACCCCTCATATCCACGCTCCCAAGTAACCCCTCATCACCACCCCCACCCCCATCACTCCTAATCTCACACACCCCCAGGTCAGTCACCCCTCATTACCGGGCCAATGAGGCATCCCCATCTCCCAACCAGTCACCCTCAACTCACTCCGCTATCCCAATCCCTGTCATTCCACAACCCCACCCCCAACAAGCCAGCCCTCACCACCCCACCAACAGCACCCCTCATTTCAGCGTTCCCTGCCCCCCCGCCCAGTCACACCGGATCTCCAACCCCAATTACCCCCTTCTCCGTGAGTTTTCCCCCTTTATATCTTGAATCTACGTCCTCTGGTCCCTCATTCTCGAAAGAAACGGATACAGATCACTCCCTCCAACATCTACTCGAGTGAAAACATTGGTAATTTTCACACCCCTTATATATCTCTCCTCCCTCATCTCAGGAAAACAGCCCCACTTCTGCAGTCCCTGCCCAGCGGTATGAACAGGCCCTCGGTTGAGTCAGGGGAAGAGGCAGAGAGAGGGTGGGCTGCAAGAAATACCTTGATGCTCCTCACAGTGTCCAGTGTGATCTTGATGGCCGCAGAGAGCATGGGCGGGCTCCTGTCCTTCCGCCCAGCAGCTGCCGAGAGCTTAGTGGCCAGTCCCTCCTCCGAGCACAGGATGGTGGGATCCAGGCCCACGGGGGCAGTGAAGCTCAGCACGTCCAGTCGTTCCGGCAGGAAGTAATCCTCAACCTCGGCTGTTCCAAAGCAGGGAGGGAGGAAAAGGGCATAAAGAGGAGTTAGTATCCCTGTGAGGGAGCGATAGGGTGAGTGGGGCACAAAGGAAACATCCACGTGAAGTGGCTCTCCCAGCACCTCACCCTGAAACAGACAGTGACAGGTTGGAAGGAAACCCACACAATCCAGATAAGCTTCTTTGCTTATTCTTTCATGGGGTTTGGGTGTTGTTGACTAAGCCATTGGTCGTACTCTTGAGGTGGTGGTGGTAAGCCACCTTCTTAAATCTGTTGCAGTCTTTGGGGAGTAGGGACACCCACGGTGCTGACAAGGGACAGAGACCCAGGGTTTGGCGCAGTAACATTGAAAGAACAGCCAACATATTTCCGAGTCAGGATGGTGAGCATCTCGGAGAGGAACTTGCAGGGGCCGGTGCTCCCATGTATCTGCTGCCCTTGTCCCTCTAAGGAGGTAGAGATCGCCGGTTTGTGGTCAAAGGAGCCTTGATGAAAATCTGCAGTTGCATTTTGGAGATGGTACACACTGCTTGCCACCGAGCATTAGACAAAAGACTATAATGACTTAGGAGCTCCGTCAATGTTTTCATCGTTGTTGTAATAATTCTCAACTCCACTTTCCTGCCTTTCCACCACCCTTGATTCCCTTACTGATTAAAAATCTGTCTATCTCAGCCTTGAATATACTTAATGACCCAGTCTCCACTGCCCTCTGTGAAACATTAGCTTGCTCTCTCTGTACGGATGCTGCCTGACCCACTGTGATTTCCAGCACTTTTTGTTTTCAGTAAAGAATTCAACAGATTCACTCCCCTCTGAGAGAAAACATTCCTCTTCATCTCGGTCTTAAATGGGCAACCCCTCATTCTGAGACGATGTTCTCTGGTCCTAGACTCTCCCACAAGGGGAAACAACGTCTCCACATCTACCCCGTCAAGTCTCCCTAAGAATTTGTGTTTCAATAAGGTCGCCTCTCATTCTTCTAAACTCCAATGACTACAGGCCCAAACTACTCAACCTTCCAATGACTACAGGCCCAAACTACTCAACCTTCCAATGACTACAGGCCAATACACTCAACCTTGGGGGGGGTGGATGGAGTGCCAATGTAAGCTTTACCCTGGGTGGCAATGTTGTTGGAACAGCACTCAGCCAGATAGGTAACCAGTATCCCATCACACCCTCAACTTGTGCCTTGTAAATGGTGGACAGGGTTTGGGGAGTCAGGTAGTGAGTTACTCGCTGCAGAATTCCCAGCCTCTGACCAGCTCTTGTAGCCGCTGTGTTTATACGTCCAGTCCCCTTCACTTCCTGGACACTGGTAACATGGGGGATAATCACAGCTGGTTGATATTCAATATCAAGAGGAAATGGCAACATTCTCTCTCTCTCTCTCTCATTGGAGAGAGTCACTGCCTGGCACTTGTGTGACACAAATATTACTAAGCGCTTATCTGCCCAAGTTTAAAAAAGGTTGCACAGGTCTAGTTGCATATTGTCACTGTTAGTGTTTCACATTGTAGTGGACGGTTGCATAGAGACAATGTTACTGAACTAATAATCCTGAGGCCTGCTCGAATAATCCAGTTCAAATCCCACTACCGCAGATGAGGCATTTAAATTCAACTGATTAACAAATTACAGCTTGTTATAAAAGCTCATCTGGTTCACTCATGTCCTGCCTTCAGGGAAGGAAACCTGCCATCCTCACCTGATCTGGCCTACGTTTGACTCCAGACCCCATAGCAATACGGTGGACTCTTAACTGCCCCCGAAACAGCAGGGCTGCAGCGTGCAAATGCTAATGATGGGCAGTAATACTGGGCCCTGAAATCAAAGCAAAATACTGTGGACGCCGGAAGTTCTGAAATAAAATCTGAAAAAGCAAGAGAAACTCAGCAGGTTGAGGAGCATCCGTGGAGACGGAAACGGAGGCTAGTATTTCTGGTCCTGTGCTCTGGAACCATTTGGCTGAGCAGTCACACCAGACTCGAAACGTTAACTTTTGTTACTCTCTCCACAGATGCTGCAAGACCTGCTGAGTTTCAAACTTTAATACTGGACCTTGTCTCATGTCACAAGAACGAACTGAATAAAATAAAAATACATTGCCCCGCCCACTGGGGGAGACTCATTGATAAGTGAGGTACAGGAAGAGAAGCAAGACCCGAGGTGGGGATATATTAAGCGGTGGAAGTTACATCAGTGGCTCGTAGCCAGTGGATTGAGATCATGTGGAAACACTTGTCCAGCCCATGCGACCCGATGTCCCATCCATCAGGATTGTGATAGGACCAGTCCAGGAGGGAGCACTATCTTAAAATGTCAAGAAGCACTTTTTCACACTGAGGGGAGCAGAAATCTAAAACACCCTGACAGAACACTCCACAGCATCTGAGACCAGGTAGCTAAGATTGTTGCTGGGTTCCACGCATCGAGGGATACAGAGAAAAAGCGGACTTGGAGACAAGATGTGGATCACATCAGAGGAACTGAATGGCCTCTGCCAATGGAGAAGACCTCACTGTGCTTGGAATCATGGGAACACTTCATTGTGAAAGCAGGCCATTCGGCCCATCGAGTCCACACCGACCCTCTGAAAAGCATCTCACCCATTCCCACCTTCCTACCCTATCCCTTTAACCTTGCATTTCCTAAGGCTAATCCACCTAACCTGCACATCCCTGGACACTATGGGACAACTTAGCACGGCCAATCCACCCTAACCTGCACATCCCTAGACATTATGGGACAACTTAGCATGGCCAATCCACCCTAACCTGCACATCTTTGGTCTGTGAGAGGAAACCGGAGCACCCGGAGGAAACCCACGCAGACACGGGGAGAATGTGCAAACTCCACACAGACAGTCGCCCAAGGGTGGGATCGAACCCGGGTACCTGGCACTGTGAGGCTGCATTGCTAACCACTGAGCCACCGTGCTGCACATGGAGTCAGATGTGTGCCTGGGGGAAAGTATCACTCTAAAACCACCTGTAAGATGTTTGTGAACATACAGGGCACTGGGAGCACAACTTTTACAAACCAGGGAGCCGGGTCAAAGGAACTGAAGAAATGGCATTTGCCTCCTGGTGGAGGACAAGAGAAAACAAGGCAGGGAATGACCAGGTCGCTGAATAAACCAAGGTGTAAATCTAACATGGGGATTGGAATCTGGAAACACTGGATGGTTTTCACCCTGGAAAGGAGAAATGGCAGCGTACAGAGCCTGCTAACTCAATGCAGTCTCCACCACCCGGCTTTCACTGTATTGACACAGGGAACTTCCACTCCCCAGGTGCTGCTTTTGGACGTAGGGGTGCGAGGGGGTGGGGGTGGGGGCATACTGGCTAGACAGGGTGGTTAAGAAGGCGTTTAGCACGCTTGCCTTCATTGCTCAGACCTTTGATTACTTGAGCTGGGACGTCATGTTGAGGTTGTACAGGACGTTGTTGAGGCCTCTTCTGGAGCACTGTTCCCTGTTATAGGAAGGGTATTATTAAGCTGGAGAAGGTTCAGGAAAGATTTAGCAGGATGCTGCTGAGAATGGAAGGTTGGAGTTGTACGGAGAAGCTAGATAGGCTGGGACATTTTTCACTGGAGCCTATGAGGTTGAGGGGTGACCTTGCAGAGGTTCATAAAATCATAAGGTTAATGGCAGGTGTATGTTCCCTAGGGTGGGGGATTTCAAGACTACAGGGGCATATTTTTAAAGTGAGAGGAGGAAGATCTAAAAAGGACACGGGGCAACTTTTTACACAGAGAATAGTCCGTGTGTAGAATGAACGTCCTGAGGAAGCAGTGGACGCGGGCACAGTTATAACATTTTAAAGACATTTGGATAAAATCATAGAGATGTACAGCACGGAAATAGGCCCTTCAGTCCACTCGTCCATGCTGACCAGATATCCTAAATTAATCTAGCCCCATTTGCCAGCATTTGGTCTGTATCCCTCTAAACCCTTCCTATACATATACCCATCCAGATCTCTTTTAAACGTTGTCATTGTATGAGCTTCCACCACTTCCTCTGGCAGCTCATTCCATACACACACCGAATAAGTACACAAAGAAAGGTTCGGAGAGATACAGGCCCGTAGCAGGCAGGTGGGACTAGTTTAGTTTGGGACTTCGTTCAGCATGGACTGGTTGGACCGAAGGGTCTGTTTTCATGCTGTATGACTCTTTGACTACATTGGCTTTTTTAAGGTTGGGCTTCCAGGGCCCCAGCTAGTGGGATGGTACTGTACCTTTCTGGTATAGGGCTACTTTGCTGGACTCAATGCAGAGGTAGCTGAGGTCAGGCTGTCCCTTGTACTGCGATACAGTGAAGATGGTGCCACTCTCCACATCAAGGACCAGCTCCCCGTGCACCCCAGTGACTGGCTTCTCCCCTTCGCCCTGCAAAAGAATGAGACAGACCAAGCATCAGGTTCCAAGCATGGAGTGCATTCAGCGGAGAAACTGCCAATGCGACTCTTTGGGAACACAGGAACACCATTCAACACCTTGGCACTGTTCAGTCCTTCAAAGAGACTGTCGATCTTCTGTACCACAACTCCATTCACCCACCTTAATCATAGGATTCATAGAATCTCTACAGTGTGGAAGCAGGTCATTTGGCCCACTGAGTCCATACCGACCCTCCGAAGAACATCCCATCCAGAGTCACGCCCTACCCGATCCCTGTAACCCTGCTAATTCACCCAGTCTATGCATCCATGAACACTATGGGGCAATTTAGCATGGCCAATCCACTTAACCCGCACATCTTTGGACTGTGGGAAGAAACCAGAGCACATGGAGGAAACCCCACACAGACACGGGAAGAGTGTGTAAACTCCGCACAGACAGTGGCCTGAAGCTGGAATAAAACCTGGGGTCCCTGACCCTGTGAGGCAGCAGTGCTAACAACTGAGCCACCGTGCCACCCTATAATGTCATCTCACATGAAAAGACCATATCTTTTTGCTTTTCTGTGTTTTTTTCTGGACTGAAATGGGAAAGAAAGGCCGAGGATTGTTAAAGGATTAGTACAAAGTGAGTTACCTGATGCTCACTAGAAGTGCTGTTTACACAGCTGTTGGTTCGAGCAGTAGGGGAGAACCTAGTTACAGATGAGCTGGAGCTTAGGGATGTGTACGAAAAGAGATTGGACGGCAACAAGTTACTTACTGGTCTGTTCAATGGTGACCAGTTGCCGACAACAAAGACTTTCTGCCTGCCAACAACTACACGATTGGCTCCCAGGTGGCTGAACAGATCTGGGGCTATGAATGGCCAGGTTAGAAGCCATCAGGCCACTGAAAGGAAAGAACTGTTTCTGCACTGCAGTAAAAAGCTCCGCAGGCCTGTAGATAGACTGTTTCTTTATCCTCACTTGTTGCTGTAAGTATGAACCACTCGCCCTATGCCTCCTGTAAACAAGTGAAGGTATCTGGTTAAAGGAAAATTGAGAAGCAAGTGTTTTGAGCAGCACAAGAACCATCTCAGTCGATCCTGTGGACAGGGACCACTGAACTGCTTTCCCAGTCTTTCCCTCAATCCAAAACATCCTTTCTTTTTGTGTCTGTCTTCATGCGTGTGTAGAGGATGAGTTTTATAAGGACGGCAAGAGTTTTAACCTCAGAGTTATATGTCAACAGTTCACATTTGTTTATCTGTTGTTATAATCTATTGATTTGTAATGAATAGTCATTATTGTTGAGTACAGAAACCTGGTCCATTCCACCTGACAATCTAAAAGACAGGTAAACTGGGGAGTTTTCATGTACTTTTTAAAATCTTTAACTTCCGTGATGATCCCAGAATTAGTGCAGGTCGATTTCTAACCCCTATCCCAGTGAGGTGCAAGACCCAGAATGTTGGAACAGAATCATATAGCACAGTAGATGAGCACTCCTTGTGTTCTGTCAAAGGGCTAGCCAGTTAGTCCCACTGATCTTTACCAATGACCTAGCCAATATTCTCTTCTTCGAATATCAATCTAACTTTCCCCCAACCCCCCACCACCTGCCTTTTGGAAGTTCCTACTGAATCTGCTTCCACCCTCTTTTTCAGGCAGCCTGTCCCAACTCATTGCATCTGAAAGAAAACATTCCACTCTGGAGCTTTTGTCAACTCTCTTACATCTTAACTGAAGTGAAATTGACGTGAAGAGTAATCTCAGGTTAGAAATTTCAACTGATACCCCAGATTCAATGGAGAAAATTCCACTGCCCTTTGTGCAAATAGTGTTTCCTGTCATCACTCCCAAACAGGCTTGAATTCTAAAGCAATGGCCCCTTGCTCTGGACTCCACTCACTAAAGAAAATATTTATCCAACCTTCTAAATCCCTTCAATAGATCACCCATTCATTTCTTCTCCTTTATTTTTTCATATGATGTGTGCGTCAGTTTCAAGATCAGCATTCATGGCACATCCCTAACTGCTCTTCAACTGTGTGGTTTGCTTGGCCTTTCTAAGGGCAGTTAACAGTCAACCAGATTTCCCAGAGTACAGAGTCACATACAGGTAAGATGGGGTAAGGACGGAAATTTCAGAACATTAGGAAACAAGATGGGGTTTTATGACAACTGATGACTGTTGAGCTAAGATACCATCTCCTTTGTTTACTCCATGACACGTTCACCTGAGAGGGTAGAAGGCACCAGATTTTAAGTGCTCGGCCCCAAATATAGCACCTTTGACAGTGTGGCACTCCTTCTGCAGTGGGACTGGAGGTGACCACATTACATCTGTGATTTGCTCCCTGGACAGCACCTCAAATCTTGGGAGATGGGAGTCATACTGCTTCACGAAACCAACACTATACTCGCTCAATCCAGGTCATCGCTGGCCTTGGAGGTCAGGCTAAGGTCAGTCTGAATTGGCCACATTAACATGGTGAGCTACTAATATATAGACCCTGCTGTTAATTACCTCGCTATGTCCCTTGGGTAGCAGTCACCCTATTTGGAGTCATAGAGTCGGATTCATACACCACAGAAACAGGCCCTTCAGTTCAACTTGTCCATGCTGACCTGATATCCTAAATTAATCCAGTCCCATTTGCCAGTATTTGGCCCCTATCCCTCTAAACCCTTCCTATTCATATACCCATCCAGATGCCTTTTAAATGTTGTAATTGTACCCAACTGCACCACTTCCTCTGGCAGCTTGCTTCATACACTCACGCTCCTCTACGTGAAAAACTTACCCCTCAGGTCCTTTTTAAATCTTTCCCCTTTCACCTTAAACCCATGCTCCTCTAGTTTTGGACTCTCCCACCCTGTGAAAAAGACCTTGTATATTCATTCTAACCATGCTCCTTAGTCTCCGACACTCCAGGGAAACAAAGCCTCAACCTATTCAGCCTCTCTGTCTAATTCAAACCCTCCAGTCCTGGCAACATCCTTATAAATCTTTTCTGCACCCTCTCAAGTTTAACAACATCCTTCATCTAGAAGGGCGAAGAGAATTGTACACAGTACTCTAAAAGTGGCTTAATCAATGTCCTGTACAGCTGAAATATGACGTTCCAACTCCTATGCTCAATGTTCTGACCAATAAAGGCGAGCTTACCAAATGCTGCCTTCACCACTCTGTCGACCTGAGACTCCACTTTCAAAGAACTATGCAACTGCACCCCTAGGTATCTTTGTTCAGCAACACACCCCAGGACTCTACCATTAACACGATAAGTCCTGCCCTGCTTGACTTACCAAAATATTTATACCCGTTCAACTAGCAAAGGCATGTTGGACCAAGACTGGTTGTGACCCTCTCCATCCCTTGGCTCACCTTCAAGTCAGTCAGAGCTGTGACCCTGCCTTTTCCGATGTTCACGACAGCTGAAAGGAAGCTCAGCACTCTGCTCCTCTTGGCTTCTGCCTTCCTCCTCCTCCCATTCTCTTCAAGCGAGTAGAAGTGGGAATCTTCATCTTCGGAGTCAGAGTCTAGCAGCAAAGGAGAGCTGGTGAATCCTTGACAATGACAGGACACCTTATCTATGGGCCTTGCACACAGCCCAACAATTTAATACTCCTCTTATTCCTAATATAACAGGACCCAGTAGCTGAATGGCCTCTTATTCCCATATAACAGGCCCCAGTAG